TTCTCAAAGCGTTTGCTACCTCTAGTCAGCACAGCAGCTCTGCGGGCTAATTATTGAAATTGATAGAAAAAAAAAAAAAAAAATTGAAAAAAAAAAGTGATAGAAATAGAAGACACAGAGAGTATATGAAGCGATTCTATTGGTTGAAACGGGTGGTTCTTAGATACCAAGGGTGATAATGATGGACTAACGGTGGGATCTCTTGTCAGTTTTCGTCAGTTCACACTTACCTCTACCTCCTGTGTTTATTGCAACCACCCACTTCCAGAAATAGGATCGCCTTATAGCCTCTCTGTCTTTTATATCTATCACCCTGTCCATCAATTGGACGTATTTCTATCGAACGGACCTAAGCGCCATAGGGTGAGGAAGGTCGAAGGGGGCTTGGATGGATTGGATTGGCGGCGGAATCGGGCGTCCGGCTTAATCCATCCTATACTCGCAGTGCTTTTCCATGGCACTTAGGTCCGTTTGACAGAACGCGCTATCCGGGATAGACCATATTCGATACGGGTTCGATATGTCGTTTGGTTTAAAACAAAAGAACATACCCTCAAACCAAACTGTACAAATTTAAGTTGGAAAAGCTGAAAATGAGAAATTTCCTGACAATTTCACTTTGCAGTGGCATTTGATACTCAAAAGATTAAAAAATCTGTTACAAAAGACCCGTTCTTTCATTTCTGAATTTACTTTTGAGGCTATGTTTATGTTTTGAACCAATCGATATCGATACAATCTCACCCGTTTGATGTATCGAATACGATCTATTCTAAATTCCTCCAAAGGAACTCAAATTGGCTCTCAGTTCCGTTTGATAGAAATACGTCCAATTTCAATAATCAACCCGCTGGTGGGAACTATTCCGCCATTCAATCTCGAATCGAAAACCTAAGTTTGCAATTTATCTGTTTCAGGGAAGCGTGGTGGCGACGACTTGCAAACGTCCTCGATGACCGGGATGAGCGTGAGCAGCATGGACATCTCGCACGAGGACTCCTCGTCCTGCTGCAGCCAGCTGAGCAGCAACACGAACCGGGACATCGAGATCGACGTCGTCGGCGACGAGGACGAGGACGACTCCGACGACGAAGACGACGACGCCGACGCCGACAACGAGGAGTCCGACGTCCCCCGGGTGCCCAGTGACGTCACCCGGGACACCTACCAAAGACACGAGGGCGTCACCCGCGACACCTACCAAAGACACCTCATCAAAGAGGAGAACTCGAGTATGGACCTCAGCGCTACGTCGATCTCTATCGATAAGGAACGACGCCCGCTGAACCCCTTCAGTATCGAGTCGCTCCTCTCTGGGAATAACAACATAAGCGTCACGCCCCTCGTTAACGGGAGCCATTCCCTCAAGTCGGAGCCCAGCAGCCCGAAGAATTCTTAGACCTCGATCTCTAGTCCGCCCGGTATCTCTCCCACCTCGCGCCTCTCGCCCCAGTCTAGTTACTAACGTCTTTGTTTAAGCCTCTTTGTTTATCTGACTTTTTGTCGTTACCCACACGAAAAAACGTAGCTGAGTTTCGGCGTTGCAAAATTTCCTCTCGTAAATTGTTTTTTTACGAGGCAATCACGGGAAAAAAAAACATATTGGATCTAGAGTCCAGACTCTTGAAAACATTGACGAGAAAAAAGACTCTTGATTCAATCAGATTTAAGCTTAAATCAAAAGGAAATCCGCTCAAATTAAGAGGCTTGGTTCTTGATTTAAGCTTAAATCTGATTGAATCAAGAGACTTTTCTATTGTCAAAGTTTTTACGAGTCTGGACTCTAGATCCAATGTGTTTTTTTTCCAACGTAGGTAATTATTAAGAAATGATAAGCATCCTTGAGAAAGGGCGCATTGTGAGAACTCGCGTTTGAGAGAAATGCATGCGAAGTTTCGATTATTAATTTCTGGCTAGTGAACGTAACTTACATCGGAGCTTGGAATCTAATTTTTGATTTAAGTCACCGTCGGTGGACGGAGAGTAATTTTGAAAACTTCAAATAAATTTTTCCCAAACACGATTTTTCGATAAAGCACCTTTCTTGGCAAGCTCCTCGATTTCCACTCTCTGAAACAGCTCATAATTTGACTGATTCTTCCTCTGATCACGAGCAAAAATCAGCGCAAGTTTGGGTAAAAATAAATCAGGCACATTCCTCTAATAACTTCAATCAGTTGAGCCAATTTTGCACCGTTGGAATGGAGTAACGTTCTGGATGAAGACGATTTAAATCCATTGCCGGCAGTGAGCCAGCCTTGAGATAGAGTAAGAATTTAGGCTCTAAATGGTGTACTTTTTCATTTAAGACTCACGCATGACACGTTAAACCTATGGAAAATTCTAAAATCAGCTCATGAGTAAGCGATTAACTTGTTCAGCTTATATTGCAAACTGTTGTAAATTTTCACTCGCAACAAAACCACATCAACGTAGCTCAAAATAGGCGTTGAAAACATCCATTCTGTAAGGGAAATAATGAATACTTGCTTGCTTGTTTCCAGATTCTTTTCCTTCCTCCTATGATAAAATACACCTCTAATTTCGTCAAATAAAAGTCAAATCATGGGAAAATTCTTTCATCGTAAAAAAAAATACCCAAATTAGTTCAGGGCTAGATTTGACTCGAATAAACTTTGTTACATTTTGTGAGCAAGAAGTGTGTATATGAGTCTGCACAAAAAAATGCTATTTGATGAAATTTCGATAAAGGAGCGTATTTCGCAGGCGGTTAGCAATCGCTGGCAATTTGCACCGGTGTATGTATTGAATCTTCCGATTGCAAAAATTCGCATCGACATTGTCAATGTCTCCATGGCATAATCCCTCGACATCACATACCCGGCTTGAGGCGCCTTCGACCCCGGTGATACTCCCCGCTTTGCCGGGAAGTTAGTTTAGTTGCGTGACCTAACCAAACTTAACTCGGGCTTGAAGCGCCTTCGATCCCGGTGATACTCCCCGCTTTGCCGGGAAGTTAGTTTAGTTGCGTGACCTAACCAAACCCAACTCGGGCCGCTGATTTCAGTGCACGCGCTCGCTCGCGCACTAGCTTGTCCCATGCATAAATACAGAGAGAAAAACGTCTATTTGAATTCCTTGCAAAATTATCAGGCCTTTCTATTTCGTTTCATAATCTCTGTTTTTTCAATTACTTCGGTCAACACAAATACGTAGATTGCAATTTGCCGGTGATTATTAATTGTCTGCGACACATATATAGTGCGTTGTTTTATTTCGTGCTCTGTCTTTCATATCTACAATCGTTAGCAATTTTCAGTGGGCTAACGAGTTGCCTCGACAAATAGCATCGGCATGATGTTGCAACTCAAAAATACTACCTTGCTTTGGTTCGCCTTCATTTTCTCTAATACTCTACGCATTGCAATGCAGTTAGTTTGTAGTTTCCTATCCAGCCCAGACCAAAGCAAAGTCACTGATTTTACTAAATGCACTCACGTTTGTACCATCTAGTGGTGCATTCAAGGAGAAATAAAACGTTTAGTTCAACTGAAAGCAAAATAATTAGCAAAATAAAGTAATTTTCTGGTTTCTTTATTTCTAAGTATGATCATTCAAAAATGCCAAAAAATAAAAGGACTGAAAAAACATGGGGTGAGACTTAATTGTACCTAGTCAATTTTTGTTTTTATGTATTCTCGTAAACATATCACATTGTAACTATTACTTTTGAGGGATCTAAAAATCGAGTCGTCTCCAAATATCATTTTTTAGATGAGCGCTAATATCTACATTAAATAGTTTTTCGTACGGTGGTCATTTATTTTTTACATCCAACCTCTGTTCTATGCCGTTTTAAGAATTTGTATGCGTTTCATTTCTGTTACATATGAGGTAGGCTCATTTCCACTTTCAAGGATTCTGATGCAAACCTCTGTAAAGCATCCAATGTTAATGTTTGTGTTCCGTTTACACTCGATTTTTGGTGAACTCATTTTTATTGTACATTCTGTATAAAGTTTCTCATGATGAAAAAATGTTATAGTATCATAGAAATCGTTAAAGTGAGATTTGTCAATACACATAAGATTTCGCATACTTTGTGACTAAGTATCCAGTATTTTTGTGACATCAGACTGTATTATAATTCAACCGTATTGTAGTTGTAGAAAAAACTGTACAAAATATAGAATCTTCGATTCTAATCACAAGACTTCTATTACAACCTGTTGAAGATTAATCGAATATTGAATAACCACTCGTAGAGGCTTGTTCTGTAGCTTTATTTATTTACTTTTTTGTGTACTCCGTTGAAAATGGCAGACAATTTTGTCAACAGTCAACATAATTGTTGATACGGGAGTTTAGAAAACCAAATTATGTGAAAGAACCAGTGCTGTCTTTAGATTGAAAATTTATGATGAACACAATGAGCAGAAATTAAAATAACATTAAAAAACGGGGATAAAATCACAGAAAGCAGCAATCTTAATTTTTTTAATTAACGTTTATCTTGATAGGGGCAAAAATATATTTGCAAAATGATAAATTGTTCATAAATAATATATGTGCCAGGTACTACGCATCTATCGCGTTATTTACGTCGCAAATGCGTCTAAATCACGTTCTAATTACGTTTTGGATGAAGAATATGGTCCAAAATTTTATGAAATCGTGGAGTATAAGATTGACATCGGAATAATAATATTATCCTTTTCATCCTATTAATAAAGGATAATTAATCAAGAAGAACTTATTTGGATATTTGCTAGTGCGAAAATTTGATAACTGTATTTGTCCTCTAATTCGTTTCTGCTCATAAGAAGTTTAACTATAAAGAATAATCGGAAGGTGTAGAAGGGTAAATTTTGGGATATCCGACTGAATTTTTTTTCTTCTTTCAAATTCACTATCAAATTCATTCATAATTACTCAGATGATGATTAACATGAATAGTTCTTTTGAGTCTGTTTCTACTTAATTGCAAAGGCCGACAAAATGCAATAACAAATATTTGGTGTTCTGCGTTACATTTGAAATATGTATAGTTTGTACATATTTCCTTAGACTGTGGTCAAATGCTAGTTTTTGCCACCCATCTGTTCAGTTTTTTGTTAAATTATTTATCGAGTATCAAAAATTGTAAAGTGTACCAAATAAAAAGATTCCAAATTTATCATTTATGTTTTACTCACACTTTCCCGTTAAAAGATTATTCATCTAAGGAAAGAATACTGTCCTTCGTGCTGAAGTACCTTCAATTATAAACTCCAAGCAAAAGTTAGAGCTTAATGGACTTAAGAAGAGGATGACTTTAAATCTGAAACTAGTGTTGGGGTTACGAGTTCTGAGCCCCTCTGTGTTGTTCAACCTGTTCAGTAAATTAACAATTGGGAGCTAATGTTACACACATTTGAGTAAGTCATCGATCTCTTAAATATAACTACTGAGAATCAATAATTTATCAACATTCAAAAAGATGGTGTATTGTCAAAAAATCACTCAATTCATCAAACAGTTTTGGAACAATTTTATCTGCAGTTCGCGGGTTCGAGGCTGTTACCTCATAACGACGCACTTCAGTCAAACGGGATTATCTACATTTTGACTTGGACTCTGTCATGCATGTATTCGAATGGGTCTTAGAGCCCAAGTCCTAATGGATATTTTGATTTAAATACAACCATATTATCCTATGCCTATCGAATGTCATTTTTTGAAACGCTTAATAGATGCGCATATAATTCTCCTGATTTGCTGTGACATTTCAGAGGACCCACATTCTTTAAGTCCCACCGTCCCATGAAACTTTGAAGCGGACGGAAATGTATTCAAATGAATGCATAGAATCATAGAGACATGTTCTCGGGTTCTTTCATCACAGCAGACAAATGGATTCACCAATGATTCAGAATTTTCAAGTGAAGTTGATTGAATCAGCGGAATAGTCACACCTTTAGAGACGTCCAGCTGGTAGCGATATCGATTATCAATTTTTCCTCCCTTTGAAACTACGGTAAAAAGTCGATTATTAAGGTCTTCGTTGCGAAAACAGTGACTATCGATCATTTTCCATGGGTTCAAATGGCAGATCAATCGCTATATCGTAAAGGTCGCCACGCATGCCACGCCAGTGCGTCCAGCCTTTCAAATTATGCATCCATTAAACGGACGAACAGTAGGGAATCATCATAGCGAGCTGAAGTCTTTGAACCAGGGATGTTCAAGTTGAGTTCGCGGATTTGCGCGTAGCAATGAAACTCTTAAAGCTCGAGGCAAAAGTGGAGATTAAATGTCCTTCCGTTGATTTCAAAGCTTTCACGCTTCTTAATAGGCCATTTTCATGAAGACCTAATGATAACTCAATTTAATTTGACATCTCCTTGGTGCATCCTTGTGTAAAGTATTATTTGCAGAATCCATTCACATTCCTTTGCTTTGTTAAGAAAGCAGGCACGACTTGTTGGGGACGATTAAATTATTCATTTTTATTCCTCTCTATCTTTGCCACGCAATGAAAAATTGACGTTAATTGCACCTTTGCGCCCATGCCGTAAATCTTCAAATTCTGTTAAAGCCAGAAAGTTTAATCAGTGTGACCTATCAATCACGACGAGAAAATTCAGTAA